CAGCTGACAAGATGACTTAGTGGACAAAGGTACCTGCCACCAAGCCTAACAATATGAGTTCAATCCCTAGGACCCACATGGCAGGAGAGAACCACCCTCCAAGTTGTCCTCTGGCCTTCGCATGTGCCGTGGCATGTGCATAGCGCCCCCCCCCGCCGCCAAATTAATTTTTACAATGTAAAGTTTAAAACAATCAGCAGTAGAACCTATTAGTCTCCCCATTTTACTAATCAGGAAAATTAAGATTCTTGCCTGAGATCACAAGCACTGGCATGCTGAAGATTCTAGAAGATGCTGTATCCACAGTCCCTCCAAAAAGATGGCAAACTGACCTAACCTCTTCAGCATAACTATTGGCTCACAAAAGTGACAAATTCATGAGAAGGCCACCTGGGGCTGTTGTGCTCAGGTGCTGGTTCAAATTAGCATACCCTCTCCACCTCTCAACTCTCCTTTGTCTTGGGTTTGGTCACATTCAACAACTTGCACACTGGCTCCAACAGAGATTGTTGTGACCAGTAGCCACTAAATTCATAGGACTCTCATTGGACCACTTTAGGCCATATGCCCATCCCTGAACCAATAGCTGTAGCCTAAGGAAGAGATCATGTCAATTGGATAAGCCAGAGGATCTACTGACAGTGAAGAAGGGTGACTTCTATGGGCAATGCAACTTGGACAAAGTCAGTGGTGGTGAGCCTGAGTAGGAAGGTACACAGGCCTCATCTGGCGGATCCAGGGAAGAAAGTCAGAATTGATCTATAGGATATGCAATCCATCCTCAACCCTACCACTGACCTCCATGACACTGTTGGCTTACAGTTGTGCTCACTGTTGAGCTTTTTTTTTTTTGCCTGCCTTCCCCAGCCCACTAATCCCTCCCTGCCACCTGGCTGCAAATACTGATTGCCTTCAGTTCACCTAAGGACACATGGGCCCCTCTTGCCAATTCTTGGCCTACTGTCCCAGTTTCCTGCTGCCCTGCCCCCACCTGTAGTGCAGTCTTTTCATCCATGCTGTTCACTGGCAATACCATCCTTAATCTAGCAGAGCACTGACTCAGAAACTACCAGCTACTGCTTCCTATGAATAGGGAAAAGTTGAATGTCTCGGCCCTCTGCCTTGGTCCCCCGCCACCATCCAAGGAGATTCCCTGATGCCTGCCATCAAAATGCACATATTCTCTTATCCCAGTCTGGGCTGGGCATCTTCCTTAGGACTCTGGCTCACTTTTCTGCCTACTGTGAGTCATCACTGCCCAGGGCCTAGCTCACAGATGGTGCTCAACAAATGCCTGCAAGGCTTACACTGCCAGCTCTGTGCGTGATTGATCAGAAGCTAAACAGAGGAACCCACGTGGCTCTGCAGAGAAGTCCAGAGACCTGGAGAAAGTGAGATAGCACAGAGCTGGGGAGTGGAGCTAGGGGTGTCAGAGACTGTAAGATTCATAGAGTGGTGATTATGGAGGAGGGAGGGGGGATTCAGGGAGAACAGGGCAGAACAGAGCATGAGTGAATACTATCTGTGCCAGCAGCTACAACTTTTTTTTTTCAGTTAAGTAAACAAGGCCCCATGATTTGTGTTTTGCCCAGTTGAACTTTCCGTATCAGGAGTTAATTTAGCTGAGCGACCATTTCTGGTAAAAACTTGGGAACATGATGAAAGGGACTGGAGTTGGACGCAGACACAAGGAGAGACCATTTGTCTTCAGGCTCATCCACATGGGAGTGTCCTGCCCAAACCCCTTACACAAACTTCCTAGCTTACCACCTAGGGCTAGGGTGCGGGGGGGGGGGGGGGGGTTGGTTTTGTGGTAAGATTGCACAAGCAGGTTAAACAACATAGGGGCCTGCTGAGAACAGGTGCCAGTTACAAGTCAAGACCGCAATCCAACTGTCTACTTGAGTCCTTCCCATGGGCCAGAGACTCCTGCAGTGGAGGAAGCAGCAATGGTCTCCTTGATGGAACACATCTGGAAGGAGGGAGTCAGCTGGGGCTTAATGTTTTTTTTTTTTCTTTTTGAGCCAGGCATGGTGATACACATCTGTAATTCTAGCACCTAAGAGGTTGAGGCAGGAGGATCATAGGTTCTAAGTCAGTTTAGGCTACATTTCTAGCCCACTGTTGACCACTCTCATGATTGCTATTATTAAGCACCAGCGGGTACCAGGCCAGCCCCTAGACACGCCTTTCTGTGGATGGATGACCTGTCTCTCCAATCCCTGATCTATTTCTGCTCTGTCTCACTTTCTTCATGTTTCTAGGTTTCTCTGTCTATAAAAAGCTGTGAGAGATGGCTCAGCAGTTATGAACACTGGTTGTTCTTGCAGAAGACCCGGGTTCGAATCCCAGAACCCATATGGCAGCTAACAACTGTCCGTAATTCCAGTCCCAGGGGATCCAACAGCCTATTCTGACTTCCACAGGCATTGCACGACACGGGTGCACTTACCTACATGCAGGCAATACACCAATACACATAAAAAAAATAAATTTTTTTAAAAATTAAAAAAAAAAAAAAAAGGCTATGTAGCTTCCTCTGCTGTCTCCCTTCCTCGAAGCCAGCCTTGGTGGAGAATGAAACCCGATCTCAAAAACCTGAAACAAGGGTTGGAGAGCTGGCTCAGCAGTTTAAGAATGCTTACTGCTTTTTGCAAAGGACCTGAGTTCAGTTCCCAGCACTCACGTCAAGCAGGTTATAACTGCCTGTAACTCCAGCTCAGGAGCACACAAACACACATGTACACAAGAATAATAAAAATAAATCCTAAAAGAAACTAAAATAAGGGCTAGAAAGATGGTTCAGTGGTTAAAGAGTGCTGGCTGTTCTTGCAGAGGACCTGGGTTCAGTTCTAATACTCACATGGTAGCTAACAACCACCTGTAACTTCAGTCTCAGGATCTGATGCCCTCTTTTTGCCTCTATAGGCACTGCATGCATGTGGTGTAGTTATATATATGCAGGCAAAACACTTAAAATTTTTTTAAAGTTTAAAAAATGAGACAAAAGACTTAAAATAAAAAAAGTAGAAACCAAAAACAAAGAAAAAGTCCCCCTCCCACAAATCTCTTTGCAGTGTGGGGATGGAAGCCAGGACCTTGCACATGCTGGCTAGGCAAGAGCTCAACTACCAAGCTGCCTGAAGGCATGACATACTTTCTTTTGAGTCGAGGTCCAGGCCCAGGCTGGCCTCAGGCACAATGTGTAGCTGAAATGACCTTGAACTTCTGATCTTCCTGCCTCTTACCCCAAGTGCTGGAATTACAGGCATATACCATCACATCTGGTTTATATAGTGTTGGGTATCGAATTCAGGGCTTCAAGCATGATAGGTAAGCATTCTGCCATCTGAATTACATACCCAGCCCTTTAAATTTTGTTTTATTTTTTATTACATTTATTTTGGGTGCCTGTAGGTGTGTAGACAACACATGTGCCATGGTGTGTGGGGATCAGAGGGGAACTTGCGGTAGACAGTTCTTTCCTACCACCATGAGGGTCCTGGGAATCAAACTCAGGTCATCAGGCTTGGTGGCCTTTACTCACCAGCCCCCCCCCCTTTTATTAATTTAAAAAATTTATTTTTTGGTCTTTTTGAGATAGGGTCTCCCTATAGCCCTAGCTGGCCTGGAACTCATGATGGGTGCATAAGAGGGCATGGAGTGGCCACCATAATACTCTTATTACTTTTTTTATGTTTTATTATCATTTTGTTTGTTTTTGGTCTTTTTGAGACAGGGTCTCCCTGTAGCCCCAGCTGGCCTGGAACTCACTATGTAGACCAGGTTGGCCTTGAACTCACAGATAACCACCTGCCTCTGCCTCCCAAGTGCTGGGACTAAAGGTGTGCACCACCACAGCCAGCATGTTTTATGAGTGTATTGCCAGCACGTATGTAAGTATACCCGTGTTTTGCAATGCCTTCAGAGGTCAGAAGAGGGCATCATATCCCCTGGAACTGGAGTTACAGGCAGTTGTAAGCCCCCATGTGGGTACTGCAAAGCTGGCCTGACTCACTATGTAGACCAGGTTGGCCTTGAACTCACAGATAACCACCTGCCTCTGCCTCCCAAGTGCTGGGACTAAAGGTGTGCACCACCACAGCCAGCATGTTTTATGAGTGTATTGCCAGCACGTATGTAAGTATACCCGTGTTTTGCAATGCCTTCAGAGGTCAGAAGAGGGCATCATATCCCCTGGAACTGGAGTTACAGGCAGTTGTAAGCCCCCATGTGGGTACTGCAAGAGCAGTCAGTACTCTTAACTTCTGAGCCATCTCTTCAGCCCCTATTATTTTATTTTTTGTGTATGGGTGTATGTCTATGCATGGGGTATGTGCATGTGTGGGGGGTGGCTTTTGAGGCTAGAAGAGATGTTGGATCCCCTGGATCTGGAATTACAGTGGGTTGTGAGTCACCAGATGTGAGTGCTAGGAACTGAACTTTGATCCTCTGTAAGAACAGCAAGTCCTTTTAATCTGAGCCATCTCTCCAGCCCCCAGATTCTTTATTTCAGACAGGGTCTCATGTATCCCAGGCTGGCTTGGAACTTGCTATGTAGCTGATGATGACCTTGAGCTTCCAATCCTCCTGCCACCATCTTCCCAATGCTGTGATTACAGACTTGTGCCACCATGCCATTTTGTGCAGTGCTAGGGATTGAACCCAGGGCTTCCTGCATGCTGGTAAGCACTCTACCAACTACATTACCAGTCCTTTTTCTTTTTTCAGACTGGGGTTCGTCTGCCATATAAGCTGGACAAGAGATTACTTTGCTGTTTGCTCATGTGCAAAAGGTGACGGACACCATCTACCTGCAGAAGAGCGGGTCTAGCCTGGCATCCAACTGGTACTTAATATTGGCAGCTACCGTGACTGTGATGAGCAGCAGCCCCTGTGTGCAGGCACCTTGCCTACATGGAACAGGGCCACACAGATGTTCAGGAGAGGCTTCGGCAGTCAGTCCACTGATGTCACTCTACTACAGTGGGCCAAACCGGTGAACTCATAATCTGATTTTTTTATTTTATTTTCTGAAATGGAACCATTGTACATTGTACAAACCATACCTACTGATGGAATAAATAAGTGAAAAATTATACTGCTGTACAACACACCAAAAATTTTTTTTAAGAGGAAAAAATTAAGTAACGGTGAAAAAAGGACTTTATACCTCTAACCAGGTCCTCGGCAATAATAAACATTCCAAACCATGACACTGTCTGATGATGGGCGGTCACCACCCTCTAAGAATCGGTCAACAGCCTTCCGGGTTGTGGGTGTAAGTGCCAGCACTTTGTGGAATGTGTAGCTGCAGTTCCCCCACCTTCAAGTTTTGGGGGACGTTTGCCCTGGGAGCCCTTTAGGCCATGGGACCTGATGTCCATGGAAGGCATTTGCTTAGGATTCCCTGCCCCTGGCTCGGCCAGATGAAAGGTCTTAGATTTTGTGGTGGGGATGAGGGCGAGGGGTGCAGGGGGTAGGGAGCTGCGGCTCTAGGGAGAGGACCCGCGGCGGGGAAGGAAGCACATTGGATTTTGCAGTCTGACCGCTCAGCGTGGAAGGCTTTCCTGGCCAGCGTGGAGTGCAGGGCTGCTGGCTCTTTGCCTGGCGTGGCCATGGGGGTTAGCCCAGTTGGTCCCCACCAACGGCCCATTCCTACCTTCAGGCACTTCAGAGAAAAACTAATGATAGCCTCAGTACCATGGACGACATCATCTTCATCCTCAACTGCACCAACTCCCCTTGACTGTCAGGAGAGTCGTCGGTGGGCAGAAGAGGAGCAGGTGGCCCTGGCCTCCCTGCTGGCTCCGTGGATATGTGTTGGGTTTTTCTTCAGCTGTTTATGTTGTAACCTCTCGCTTCCCAAAAAAGAAATAAATATCCAAATTCATCTTTCATCAAAATGGAGTTTTGTTATAAAAGAAAAAATGTTGCCCTAACTCTAGGATCTGGAGATAAAGCCGCCTTGACCTTGAGAGACTTTGCAGGTTGTGCATCTGGTTGCTTTGGAGCCAAGATGCAGAACACAGTTCTTTATAGAACTGGCTGCCTGAGGGGCAAAATTGCTAAGCACAAGAATTTTTTTTTTCTTTTAAGACAGAAATATTTTCAGCATTGCTAACATTGACATCAAGATTTTCAAAGTTTTTTTTTTTTTTCTTCCCTTATTTCAGGAGACATTTTTGCATGAGGTATTTGAAGTTCAGGAACATTCAGTTCTTCTTGCAATGCAGGAAATAGATAAGCTCCCTTAAAAACAGGAGCTTCACCCTCAGAAACTGAGAAAATGGAGCCTGGCAGACACTTCCCATGGTGGTCCAGAGAAAGAGCCACACGTCAAAGGTGGTACCTGAATATGCACCAAATAGCAAAAAACAGAACAAAACAAAAACACCCCCCACCCCAGTAACACACAACTCAAAGGGAGTTAGAACTCCAGTGCATTAAAGAAAGCTTAGGAAAAGTTTTAAGGTCTGAGGAGTCCGTATATTAATTAAGAGCAAACCAGGCCTCAGAACAGTCAGGCAGTTTGTCCAAAGGGCTGTCTCCACTGAGTGAGAGGAGGCTGTCCTGGTGCAAGCGGAATTGGGGGAAGGGGTAGACTCGGTTGCTCCTTTCTGGGGGGGTGTGCAAATCTTCCCGGTTCCTTGGTGCCTTGTTTCTGACCTTTGAGGCCCAATCATCAAGGTCTGCTCCCCAGTGGAGACCAATAACACGTGCTGGGAATGAGACTCCATCCACCTGTTGCCTCTTAAGAGTCAGAACATGATGCGGGAGCATCTTGCCTGGGGTTGGGGACATGGGAGACGGGGATAAAGGGCAGCAGGTTTCCATGGATTTGAAATCCAAGCAATGTCCCGTGAGAAAGTTCAGCACCAGCTATTCCTGCCGCATGCTCCCAGCCTCCCAAGCCCCGTACTGTCTCAAGGAGACAAGCTCACAGTCAGTCATTTCGTTTTCGGAGATCCTGGAGAAAGCAGTGATGGAGGTGGTGGTGGTGGGGAAGGTAATAGGGTGGAAGTGCCAGAAGAATCTAAGGGCTTTGCATTTCAATCTGGGCTTCTGTGGCTTGTAAACCCCTAACCCCCATGGATCCAGGAGGTACAAACATGTCCTGGACCAAGGAAGCCAGCCCTTGGGGAATGGGGTTGACACTGTAACCCCAGAGGCCCTGGAAATTGAGGCTGACCCCATCAAGGGCTTAGGGCATGCCTAAGCACTGCCCATCTGAAATAGGAGCCACTGAAGGGCACCTGTTCTCTGGTGGCTCCACCCTGCCTGCTCTGAAGCAGTCCTGGGGCAGGGAAGAGAGGCAGTAAGGGGCAGTAGCTGCCCCAAACAAAATGAGAGGGCACTTTGCAAGAAGATGCAAAAACCAGGAAACATGCCAGAGGTCACCTCAAGGGCACAAGGCACAAAAAAAGAAAGTGGAAGGAACTGGTTGAACAGTGAAAAGCCCCGACAAAAAGTGAATTCCTGATCGATACCACCCTCAAATAGCTTATATCGTTAAATAGAGAAGTGGGGGAAAAATACAGCAGCAACACAAAATGTAATCTTGGCTTCCGAGACAGTGTGCAGACACTCCTGAGCTGTCAACCCGCCTCCCCAGGACAGTCACTTCAAGGTTCGAGTGTTTTGCTTCACAGCAGAGTTCGTCAGTGTCCGAGAAGTTATGCTGTTCTAGGTTTTCTTGGATTTGCACTTGGTAAACTTGAAACATTAGTAGTTCTGTTCGCACCCAAGAGGAATCACTCGGGCAATGTTGTTCTAGAATTAAGCCTGCTGATGTACCTGCCATGAAACATGGACCGGAGGGTTCCACTCAGTGTCTACATCTCTTCTGAGTTCTGTTGAGAGGCCTCCAGCTTCATCTTTTTAGAGGGTGGTGCTCCTTCCAAATCCTTTGGGGGAAGAAGTGGCACAGGTCAGTGCAAGCAAGGACCCATGACCTGCCACTGCCATGCTGAACTGAGACCCACACTGTTCCCTCTGCCTATTGAGCTCTACCCAGCCTGGACCAGGTTTCCCAGTGACCAGTCTATCTGTAATTAATTGTGGAGGTAAGTATTTGTGCATAAGCTTCAGGTTCACGGCTTCAACCTCTAACTAAGGTGGTCTCCTGAAGGCTCAGACCTACTTAGTCACATGGTCTCTTGCCCCTCAGGCTGCAGGCATTTGGCCTGAGGTAGACACTTGGCATTTGTCAGATATTGCTCTGTTGTCACCAAATTCCCAAGAAGTCTTATGACCACCCCAAAGGTTAAACATTTACTCACCAGCCAGTTATGTCAGGTATCTCAGACCTCACTCATCACCTGAAACCAAACTCCAAACAGTATCCATGCTAACCAGGGCTCCCTGGTCTTTGCTGTGTCTCTGTGCCACCACAGGCATGGAATAAAGTCTGTGCCTAGACAGCACCCTGAAGTCCCTTCTCACCCTCTGACTGCCAGTTTCACCCACTGCACCTGCTGGAGCCTATCCACTTCTCTGAGCTGCCACTACTCACTTGGATGTAGCAGCAGCCCCCTCTATAGCCTCCATATAAGTGTCATCCAATATAACCTGAGCTTTCTCCCTAAGCTATAAATCATGCATGGGTGCAAAGGCTTCCAACATTTGCTCACTGGCTTTAGAGCAAAAATCTAATCCCTTCCCAACACTAGGAGGGCCGGGTGACCAGCCTCAGGGATCTCTTCCTCTCCTCTGGCCAATCTCAACCTGGTCCCCCAGCTCTGGCCACCCAACCTCTCTTCCTTTTTTTCTTTTTCTTTTTTTTTTTTTTTTTTTTCCTTTTTGAAGCAGGGTCTCCCTGTAGCCCCAGCTGTCCTAGAACTCACTATGTAAGACCAGGCTGGCCTTGAACTCACAGAGATCCACCTGCCTCTGCCTCCCAAGTGCTGGGACTACAGGCGTGCGCCACCACGCCCAGCTCCTTTTTTTCTTTTTTAAATACTTTACTTACTATTTTTATGTGTATGAGTGCACTGCCTGCATGTATGTAAGTGCACCTCTGTCATGCACTGCCCACGGAAGTCAGAAGAGGGTGGCAGATAACCTGGAACTGGAGTTATGAACAGTTGTTAGCTGCCATGTGGGTGCTGGAAGCCATGTGGGTACTGGAAACCAAGACCGGGTCTTCTGCAAGAGCAGCCAGCGCTCTTAATTGCTAAACCATCTCTCTAGCCCCCCAGCCTCTCTTTCATTCTTCAGTTTGGTGATGTCATGAGACTTGTGCATCTCTGGGTGCATCTACCTGGAGAACCTGCCTTCCTCCTGGGTTTATGCATCTCAAATTCCAGGCACAGGAGCCTCTTCTTGTTCAGTGAGGGCCAGCACCTCTTCATAATGGTTAATGTACCACTTACTACAGACCCAGCCCTATTCCAAGTTCCAGGGACACAGAGTAGCCTAGGCAGAGAGGTATAGCCTCTCATTAAGTCTCCTTGAACTTGCAATCCTCCTGCCTCAATTTCCAGAGTAGCTGGAATTTAGGGATTATTCTTCCATACCCAACTGATAAAAGAGCATGATTTGAACCTGGGTTAGACTCTTGGATGTTTGCACCATGGTCTAGGACCTTGTGTTTGCACTGAGTAATCCACAATCCCCGTTGAAACTTGGTTACAACCTGGAAGGGGTCTGGATCAGATTCTGAATTCCAAAGAATGATCCAGTCTTTGGGTTTAGAGGTCTTTCTTCTTAACCTTAAAGAACATGGGGTCAATGAGATGAGGTAATGCTTTTGTGAATCCAAATAATAAATACCATCCCCAAGCTGGGGCTAAGGATGAAGGACCCTACCTCCTCTACCACAGATGCACTATGAAGAAGGGCCACATGTCCCACCCATCATTGTGGCCCAGGATGACATACGATAGTCAGAGGACAACAGATTGTACCAACCATCCAACAACAAAACAGCACAACTTTCAACGTACTCTGGACATCCCCTAGTCCTGGCCCAGGCCTGACTGCGGGTACCTGAGAGATTGCCGACATCTCTGTCACCAGCCCTGACTCTGTAGATGGCTGCCGTTCTGCTTTCTCTGAGCTGTTCGAGTTTTCCATTGAAGACTGTGAGTTCTGCTCGTCAGAAGCATCTGAGCAAAAAGCAAGATGACAGAAACTGTTTTCAGACACATGAGATGCAGAGCCAGATGGGACAAGCACTAAAAATACCCAGAATTGGGTACTTTTGTGGCTAGGGACTTTCAGGGCTAGATGCGCTGAGGCTTGGAAGTCTTTTGTTATTTGCTAACAAGGCAGCTATAAACAGCCAGGCCATGAGCGGACCACAAGGTCGGCTCTGCAGGTCTCCAGGCCTCCTGTACACAGCTATTATGTGCCTAGAAGACTACTTTGCATGAAATGTGTGAGTGCATGGCACCCTCTGCTGGGCACAAAGCAGCACAGCAACCATGGCTCTGAACCCCTGCAGGAAGCCATGGCCAAAAGAACCTCTGCAGACAGCATTCTCTGAACATCAGAGGGAACTGACCTTTTGTAAACATTTTCTCTCTTAAAAAATTATTTATTTATTTGTGGGGGAAGGGGGCACAAATGCACCCATGGAGCCAGAGTACACCCATGGAGGTCATAGGATAATTTTCAGGAGTTAGTTCTCTTCCTCCACATGTGGGTTCTAGGGATCAAACTCAGGCCATCAGGATGGGCAGTAAGCACCCTTATCTGCAGAGCCAACTTGCTGGCCCTTTTATTTTTTTAGGCAGTTCTCATGTAGCACAGACTGACCTCAAATTTGAAGATACCTTGAACTTCTGACCATCCTGTCTCAACCTCCTGAGAGTGTTGGAATCACATATGTGTACTGCCACAGTCAAACTCAGGCCATGAATGCTAAACTAGACAAGCACGCTACCAACTGAGCTACATCCTCAGTCCAATATTTTTCTTAATATGTATTTTGGGAGGCTGGAGAGATGGCTCACTGGTTAAGAGCACTTGCTGCTCTTGCAGAGGACCCAGGTACGATTTCCAGCACCCACATGGTGACTAACAACTGTCTGTAACTCCAGTTCCAGGGGATTCGACACCCTCTTCTGACCTCTGCAGGAATCACATGACATGGTGTCATGCAAGCAATGCACTCACAAGCATAAAATAGAAATAAAAAATAATCTTTTTTTTTTGTCCTGTCTTTTTAAGACAGGGTCTCCCTGTAGCCCCAGCTGTCCTGGAACTCATTATGTAGACCAGGCTGGCCTTGAACTCACTGAGATCTGCCTGTCTCTGCCTCCCAAGTGCTAGGATTAAAGGCATGCGCCACCACGCCTGGCCCAAGAAAAAATATTAAAAAAAAAAAATGTATGTTTTTCTGGGAATCAGAACAATGGCTGATCACTGCAGAAAAAAAAATGTAGTTAAAAATCAACTGATATCAGCTGGGCATGGTGGGCACACTTTTAATCCCAGTACTTAGGAGACAGAAGCAAGCAGATCTCTGTGAGTTCAAGGCCAGCCTGGTCTACACAGTGAGTTCTAGGCCAGCTGAGGCTACAGGGAGACCCTGTCTCAAAAAGAGTGAGAGGAAAAAAAAAAAGAGTCCAAGTTAAACCTAGGCCACATAGAGATCCTGCATTGAAAACAAAACAAAACGCCCCAAATTACTTGTTAACCCTAAGTGGGAATAACTGAGATTACCTAGGGTATAGAACCAAACTCTAAGAACCTGGAATTTCTTTACATTTTAGTTTTGCCTATTTAGTCTTTTTGTTTGATGTGTGTGCGTGTGTATGTGTTGAAACAGGATCTCATTATGCAGCTTTTGCTGGCCTGGAACTTACTATATAGATCACGCTGGTCTCAAAATCACAGAGATCCACTTGCCTCTCTGCTGGATTAAAGGCATACATCACCACATCAGCTAGTTTTTGTTTGTTTTTACACAAGGTCTCACTATGTAGTAGCCTATATTGTTTTAGAATTCACAATGTAGTATAGGCTGGCCCAAACTTGTGGCAATCTCCTGCCTCAGTTTTCTGAGTGCTGGGATTACAGGAATGTGTGACCATCCCTTGCTTAGGTTAACCTTTAAAATCCGTTAATGGCAATTTCTTAAGAACTTAAACATTTAACTTAAGATTTGTTTTATTTTATGTGTTATGTTTGTGTGCCAGAGTGTACATATTTGTACTGTGTGAGCGCAGGTGCTCATGGAGGCCAGAAGAGGTGTCAAATACTTGGAACTAGAGTTATGGGCAGTTGTAAGTGACCCAATGTGGGTACTGGGAACCAAAATCAGGTCCTCTGCCAAAGCAGTGAGCACCCTACAACACTGATCTCTCCAGCCCCTCAAAAAGATTTCTGAACATGAATGTCCATAGCTACATTATTCATAATGCCCAAAGGTGGAAACAGCCCAAATGTAAAAGGAGAGATGAACAGATAAACACAATATGGCCCATCCTATAGATTATTTGGTCATAAAAAGGAACAAAAAGGATCAAAGCAAGGCCAGGGGGATGGCTCAGCAGGAAAAAGCGTGCAAGCCTAACAACCAGAATCTGATCCCTAGAACCCACATAAAAATTCCAGATATAGGGGCACACATCTATAATTCCAGTGCTCCTACAGCAGGAGATGGGAGGCAAAATAGGAGAATGGCCCAACAGCTCACGGGCCAGGGAACTACAATATGCATCGCAGAAGCAACAAAAGAGATCCCATCTCACAAGGTGGGAGGTGAGAACCAACTCTAAGTTGTCCTCTGTCTGGCGTGGTGGCACACACCTGTAGTCCCTGCACTCAGGAAGCAGAGGCAGGCAGATCTCTATGAGTTCAAGGCCAGCCTGGTCTACACAGTGAGTTCTAGGACAGCTGGGGCTACAGGGAGACCCTGTCTAAAAAAAACCAAAAAAAAAAAAAAAAAGTTGTCCTCTGACCTCTCTATCTCTCTATACTGCAAACTGTGGCACATGTGTGCATACACAAACATACAATTTTAAAAATCTTTTGAAAAGGGGGCTGGAGAGATGGCTCAGAATTTAAGATCACTGGCCAGTCTTGCAGAGGACCTGTATGATGGCTAACAACGGTCCTTAACTCTAGTTCCAGGGGATCTGATGCCCTCTTCTGGTCTCCAAGGGGATTGCACAACAGAGATGCACTTACATGCAGGCAAAACACATACACATAAAATAAAAATAAATCATTTTAAAAAATCTTTCAATTGTTCTTCTTTTGGCAAAGCATGAGCGCTACTACTGAGCTTCATGCTCCCATCACCAAAATGGCTAATTTGATGTCAATTTCTTTATTAATTATTTATTTATTGAGATAGGTTTTGTTACAGGTGGGTATCATCAGGCCCGGGCATGAATTCCATGTTAATAAAAAGAAAAGTTGGATATGGTAGTGTATGTTTGTAGCCCTAGCATTGGCAAGTAGAGGGAGGACACTTAGGAGGAGTTTAAGACAATCTTGGCCTACGTAGTGAGTTCAAAGCCAGCCTGGAAGAAAAAAAGGAAAGAAAAAGGGGCAGAAATAATTCCATATTAATTTTGTATTCTACTTCATGTGTTTGCTTTAACAAAACACATTTTTACTGACCTAAAAAGTCTGTTTTATCTGTGGCTTTGCCTCTCTGGCCAGTTTGTTTTCTTTTGCAGATGGAGCAGGAGGAGAGGTTAGCACTCACAAGGTAGCCATTCGTGGGGAGAGTCACACTGCCTGTTTGCTAGGCAGAGGCAAGCCCAGGCCTGAGGCCTTCTTGTAAACAGGCCCAAGGGCTCAGTAGGAACCAGTAATGCAGCTCACAGTGTGCAGGGCTCAGGACAACAGTCGGTTTTCTGAGTGTCCTGGCGCTGCTGGAACTTACCCAGGGGAAATTATTTTCCCGGGGCCTAAATTTAGTTCAGGGAGCTTGGACATTATGTCTTTCCCTGAAGTCACTCAGCAGTAAACAAGTTCAAAGCAAGGTCAACAGCCGGTGGCCAACCCACCCTCTGTCCCAGTTTACCCACCTGGGGGAGGCCACACGGGCCCTGTATTTATGCCCTTCCCATGCAGAGCTCCTGAAAGTGGATACAAGCCCAGGGGACAGGGGCAACCAGAGGAGGATCCTGGTATGGTTCCCTACCTAGACCTATAAAGATTTTGGTGGTTTGGGGTATGTGGGGTTTAGGTACAAAACACAGCAGTTACAGAAGCATTACTCAAATTTAACTCCTGTAGCTGAGCTGCAACTGGTCTGTTAGGGAAAAAAGAAGCAATAAGGCCATAGCTGGACAGCAGCCAGGATGGAATGAAGCTGGGATGTAGCTGTGACATGGCCAAACTTGCCACAGCACCCCAGAACCACTCCTCCCCAGAGGGTCTCCACAGCTCTCAGGGCCCTTCCTCCACTGGTGAACACTGCTGAGCCCTTCATGGGTGTCTCTGCCTCCTTCAATCCTTTCCAAAACCTGACAAAGGAAATGACTTTTATCTGCCCCATTTTAGAAACAAGAAAATGGGTGGGTGCATATGAGGTGATGTTGCCTGCCAAGGTCACTCAGCAGCAAATGGCAGGCTGGCTGTGGTCACGCCCACAGCCCCTGTCCCAGCCCCTCCATCTTCTACCTACAGAGCCACCTGACCTGCAAGGTGCTGGGAAACCTGGTGGGTGTGCCCTGACTGTAAAGTCCCTCAAGGGGAGATGAAAGGTGATGTCCACAGACTGTGAATGGCAGAGAGCTTTAGCAAAACCACTAGGACCCTGGGCGATTCCCACCTTGGAGACATTGGGCAATTACATAGAAACATTTTTGGTGTCACAACTAGTGTAGGGAGGTGCTGGCATATGGCAGGCAGAGGGCAAGGGTGCAGCTTAGCATCCCTTAACACACAGGACAACCACACACCAAAGAATTCCCCAGTCCCCAAAGTCAACAGCACGGAGAGAACCCCTGCTTCAGCAGAAAGTCATATGGCCCATGACCTCCCCAGAGGAAACTCTAGCTACACACAGTTTAGTCTTATCACATGTGTATGTTAATGGGGGTGTGACCCAAGGCTTCATGAATGTTAGGTAAGCACTCTACCAACTGAGCTAATCTCTAGCCCTTCTTCTGTGTGTGTGTTAAGCCTAGGGCCCTTGCATGCTAGGCTTAAGAAGCAAGAGTTCTACCACTGAGCTATATCTCTAGGCTTTTTCTTTTTTATTTTGCCTCCTGAGTGCTGGGATTAAAGGTGTGTGCCACTATGCCCCATTTAAACTTAAATTTATTTTTGTTTTAAATTATGTATATGCATGTGGGTATGTGCACTGAGTGCAGGAGCCCCGGAGGCAAGAAAAGAGCATTGGATTTTCTGGAGCTGAAGTTACAGATGGTTGTGAGTTGTCCAGTGTGGATGCTGGGAACCCAACTCAGGTCCTCTGCAAGAGCAGCCAGTGCTCTTAACAGCTGAGTCATCTCTCTAGCCCTCCTTTCAAAAAATATTTTGAGGGTGGGCGTGGTGGCACATGCCTTTAATCCCAGCACTTGGGAGGCAGAGGCAGGTGGATCTTTGTGAGTTGAGGCCAGCCTGGTCTACATAGTGAGTTCCAGGACAGCTGGGGCTACAGGGAGACCCTGTCTAAAAAAAAAAAAAAAAAAAAAAACTTTTGAGACAAGGTCCTGCTAAGGTGCCAAAGTTGGTCTTGAACTCACTCTATAGCCCAGGATGGCCTCGAACTTTCAAACCTACCTGCCTCAGTCTCCTGAAAGCTGGGATTACAGGAATGTACCACCACACCAGGCTATTTTCCAGCAATTACTCCCAAAAGTAAAGTTGGGCAGGGGGTGCTTTTACTTTTCTAAAGTGGAAAATGGGTTCAAGAAGCATTTCTTTTAATTTTTCTTTTTTTCTTTTGTTGTTTGGTTTTTGTTTTTTGAGACAGGGTCTGTCTCCTCTCAGCTGGCCTGGAACTTACTTTGTAGACCAAGCTAGTCTTGATCTCACATAGATCTGCCTGCTTTTTCCTCCTCAATTCTGGGATTAAAGGTATGTGCCTGACTTTTCTTTTGTTTTCTGAGATACGGTCTTACTATGTAACTCAGGCTAGCTCCAGATGGCACTGTAGCTTAGATTTGCCTAAAACTTGCAATGTTGCCCAGCCTCCCTTGTCCTGGGATTACAACCTATACTATCAAAACCATTTATTAGACTGCTTTTACTTTCCTTTAAAAAGGTTTACCTTTCCTCAAAGAAATAAGCACTCTCTCATTCTCTCTCTCTCTCTCTCTCTCTCTCTCTCTCTCTCTCTAATTCCTCCCTTCACAGTTTTATGTAGCTCAAACTAGCCTTGAACTTACTATGTAACCATGGATGAACTTGAATTTCTGATTCTCCTGTTTCCACCCTCCAAGTGGCTAGGCTCACAAGCATGCACCACCATTTCCAGTTTATGAGGTTTAAATGGGCTTATTACTTTTTCTGCTCCTACCCTGGCCCAACCACCACGCTCTTCTACGTAAGACAGTTGTTTTAGTCTCACCATCCCATCATCTGTTGTTCTCAATTATTTAGGTCATGTCACCCTGTCCCACTTGCTATAAAAACCAAGATCTGGACAGCGTTCTTATAAGCCCACCATACTTTGAAGCTCAGCTTCCTCTCTGACCCCATCTTACTGTTCTAATCCCTCAGTCTTCTCCAGCCACAATGACTCTGCTTCTGCTTTAGGGCCTCTGTGTACTGCCTGTTCCTCTACCAATGCTCTTCTCCAGACAGCCCTCTGGCTTGCTTACTTGCCAAAATCGAGATTCACCTGCTATGTCATCTCAGAGAAACCTCTGCTGATCACTTTCATAATTCAACAAGACTCTTACCCCCTTTTTGACTTTATAATTCTAGTATTTACCAAGTATTAGATTGTCTGATTTCTTTTCCTTTTTTTTTTTTTTTTTAAAGACGTAATCCCATGAAGTCCAGGCTGACCTCAAACTCCTCCTGATCCTCCTCCCTCTACTTCTCAAGTGCTAGGATTAGAGGCATGTGCCATCATGCTCAGTCTATGGAGTACTGGCAATTGAATCCAGGGCTTTGTGCATGATAGGCAAGCACTCTATTGAGCCACATCCCTAGACCAAATTATCTGGCTCCAAATGAGGCCTTACCTTTCTTCTATTGTCATGGTCTGGGCTTTGCATATGGCAAGGCCTCCCTAAAATACCCCTGTCTGGTTGTACAGCAGCACCTCTGTACCTCATCCCTGGAGGGCACATACCTTCAGCTCCAGTGAGCTCTTTCCCATCAGCCTGCACCTCATCCACCTTGGCTTCAGTGCCATCACTGGGCACAGCTGCATTAGGCTCTGGGGCAGGGCTAGAGTTGCTGCTGTTCTCCTGTTTGATGGGGGAGGCGTCTGCTATGGAACTCTGGTTGCTGTTATCATCTGCAAGGGAGAACAAAACACAGGTTGACATTCTGCTGCTGCTGAGGAGATGCAGGTATGTGTATGTTTGGTGGTGGTGGGAATTCAGCTTCCCTATGCTTTGATGTCCTGTGAAGCAAGGGATTCTGAAAACTAGCCTGACATTCCATCCCCTTCACCTTACCCCTTAGATAACTAAGAAGGGCGCTGTATCTGAAGCCTGACAGCCAGATATATTAAAATCTCTGGGGTCAGGGCAGAAAGATTGTAAGAGCCAGAGGTTGAAGAAGACAGGAGTGACACAGTAGCTTCTGGACACAATGGGACTGCTGCACTGATGAACTCACAGCAGATGTAGTTGTCTGTTCAAGATCAAACCAGTCAGCATTTCAGTATGGAAAAAGGAAGGGCTCACAAACCCCCAGCTGAGGAGCTATGGGCAGCTGATAGCTTCTGTGGGAGGGAGAATCAGTTTTCTTTAAGGGTGTGGTCCCAGGCAGGTTAACCACAATCCATGGATTGTGTCATACTCATGAGTATATGGGCTCAAATTGGACTCTGGGTTATTTAAAAAATAAAAAGAGGGCCTGGGCTAGAGTTGGTTCATAAGTTAAGAGCACTTGTTACTCTCGCAGAAGACCCAGGTTTGTTTTCCATCATCCACATGGTGGCTCACAAATGTCTGTAACTTCAGTTCCAGGCAATCCGATACCCTCTTCTAGCCTCCACTGGCACCAGGCATACACGTCAGATTTCCCAGAACTTGAGTTACAGATGGTTGCAAATTACCAGGTACGAGTGCTGGGAATTGAACCTGAGTCTTTTGCAAGAGCAATATGTGCTCTTAACCACTGAGATATCTCTCCAAGCCCAGAAATCACTGAAATAATTTTTTGGTTGATTTTTTATTTTATTTTATTTTTTTGGTCTTTTTTGAGACAGGGTCTCCCTATAGCCCCAGCTGGCCTGGAACTTGCTATGTAGACCAGGCTGGCCTCGAACGCACAAAAATCCACCTGCCTCTGCCTCTTGAGTGCAGACTCAGCTTGATTTTTATTTTATGTGTATGAGTACTTTGCCTGGATGTAAGTGTACCATGTGTGTACAATGTCCTCAGAAGTCAGAAGAGGGCATCAGATCCCCTGGAACTGGAGTTAATGATGGTTGTTAGCTGCCATGTGGGTGCTGGGAACCAAACCCCGGTCCTCTCTGCAAGAGCAGTCAATGTTGTTAACTCCCAAGTCATCTCAGCTCCCACCCCCTACCACCAGAACCATTTAAAAAATATTTATTTATGGCCATGTATGATGGCACATGCCTTTAATCCTACCACTTGGGAAGTGAGGCAGGTGGTCTCTGTGAGTTCAAGGCCAGTGTGGTCTATACAGCAAGTTTCAGGCCAGCCAGGGCTACATAGTGAGACTCGTCTCAAAAAAAGAAAAAGAGAAAGAAAAAACACATAAAATGTATGAGTGCATACATTTTGTTTATGAGGGCCCACAAATGTGTGGAGGTCAGAGAACAGTTCACGTGGTTTCTGGTGATCTAAACTCAGGCCATCAGGCTGCAAGTGCTTTTACTCACTGAGCCTTTTCCCCAGTCTAGGACTCATTTTAATAAGATGACTGGGGTGTGGCTCAGTGGTAAAGCACTTGCCTAGCTTTTATAAGGCCTGGGTTCCACCCCCAGCATAGCAAAAAAACAAAACAAAATAATAAACTAAGAAAGGGAGAAACAGGGAAGATTATTACAGATTAAAGAAATTTAAGAGACCTGACAACTAAACATGATGTATGAAAATTATTTGGTTCTGCCGGGTGTGGTGGCACACGTGTTTAGTCCCAGCACTGGGGAGGCAGAGGCAGGCGGATCTCTGTAAGTTCCAGGCCAGCTAGGGCTACAGAGAAACCATGTCTCAAAAAGACCAAAAAAAAAAAATTATTTAGTTCTAATTTGGAGTATGCCAGTGGTAACACATTTTGGAACAATTGGGGAGTTTGCATATGGTTTTTAAAACTGTTAAGGAATTATTGTTAATTTTGTTAAAAGGTAATAGCATAGCGGGTACAGGGAAATGCCACTCTGACAATGCATGCTGAAATGGGTAGGTAGATTCAAACATGGTAAGGCAGAAAAATGTACTTTAAAACACCTTAGCTCAGGCTGACAACAACAGTCAGAACTCCCTGAACTTCACACTTACAATGAAGAAAAAAGAGAGGTAATGGGGTAATGGCATTACTGGTTGGGTTAGTGGCAGACCTGGAAGGCCAGGGTATACCTCCCTGGATTCTGTGTCCCCTTTGTGGACACTGAGTCACAAACCATAGATATCCAAGTAATGACCTTAAAGTAACACCCTCTGGCTGGTGTGGTGGCTCATGCTGCATTCGGGAGTAGAGGCAGGATTACTATAAGTTGAAGGCCATCCTGGTCTACGTGTAAGTTTAGGCCAGCTACAGCTACATAGTGAGACCCTGAATACAAAACAAAAATAAATAAATAAATAACACCACAACTGAGGCTGTCGTTTTTGTGGCCATATGGTATCTTGGACCCTGTAAAAAAGAGGAGGGGCGAAGGTACTCCAACAGTTCTAGGTATCTACCACGTGCCAGGCACTGGGAAAGAATATTTACAGTCACCTTGCTGTGTTTTGAAAAGAGGTCTTTTCATGTTATCCAAGCTGGCCCCAAATTTGTGTTCTTAAGCAATCCTCTGGATGGGGAACTACCATGCCAGCTACTTCATTTAACCAACGGTCCACCTGGTAGACACCTGCCTGGTGCTGCTACCAAAACTTCACAGAGGGGGACTCAAGCCAGATTGATCTGTTCTTTATTTTTTGAGACAAGGTCTCAAGTGGCCCAGGCTGTCTTCAGACTTGCTATATAGCTGAGGATAACCCTCAACTCCTGATCATCCTGCCTTCACCTCTACCACATTCAATCTGACCAGGCCAACTCTCAACTCCTCATCTCTCTTTTACCTCATTCATAGGGAGGAGCCAAGTAGTCACACAGCCCAGCTGAGCTAACTGGATCTTATTTGAACTATACTCTGGAATGCTAGTTATACAAGAGCATTTTCTTGTGAAATCTTGACTTTAAAAAGGTACTCTCCTGATTTACCTTCAACAAAGTCTAAATTTTGCTTGCCCAAGACCCAAGCGCACATGTAGAAGAAGTTCTATTAATAAATGACAGTAAACACTAATGTTTGACCAGGCAGATGCTGGGGTACAGCCTGGGAACCATGAGCCCACAGTTGACTTCAGTCAAATCTTCTGGACTAAAGAGGCCAATGCACATGATCTCTGTCTTCATTTTCTGCTGTGCTCCTCCACCTCCCAGCTGTACTCCTCAGCCCTCTGGAAGACTCGCCAGACTGACATCTATCCCTGAGCCTTCACGATTGAACACCTCTGCCTTGGTCTTGGCTATACATGCACTAAAATGGAAATGATGATGGGAGAAGGTGGGTGCTCTGTGTCTAGGAGCTGGTGCTTTCAGCATTAATCCATGCTACAAGTCTGAGGTCAGCCTTTGATTGCTCTCATGTCCTCTAGGCCTTCAGAGGCTCTCATGTATCCACTCTAGTTCCAAAGCTCTCACATGTCCGCTCTGGAACTGGAAATTATAAGCTTGCTAATGGGGCAAGTTACTCCACCTCTCTAAGCCTTAGTTCTTCATCTTTGTTTTTTTAAATATTTTATTTATTTATTTATTTATATGATTATTATTATTATTATTTTTGGTCTTTTTGAGATAGGGTCTCCCTGTAGCCCCAGCTGTCCTGGAACTCACTATGTAGCCCAGGCTGGCCTTGAATTCACAGAGATCTGCCTGCCAAGTGCTGGGATTAAAGGCATGCGCCACCATGACTGGCCTTATTTATTATTTTCATTTTATGTGTATGAGTGTATTGCCTGCATGTATGTGAGTGCACCCATGTTGTGCAATGCCATGGAGTTCAGAAGAGGGCTTTGGAACTGGAGTTAAGGAAGATTCGTAGCTGCCATGTGGGTGCTGGGAATCGAACCTGGGTCCTCTGCAAGAGCAGCCAGTGCTCTTAACCACTGAGCCATCTCTCCAGCCCAGTTCATCTTTGAAATGGAACTTGGAATAGATTCCAGGGAAGGGGGCTGGAGAGATGGCTCAGCAGAACAATGGTTGTTCTTGCAGAAGACCTGGGTTTGAATCCCAGTACCCACACGACCGCTAACAATTGTCAGTAACTCCAGTTCCAGGGGATCCGACAGCCTCTTCTGTCCTCTGTGGATGTTGCACGACACGGGTGCACTTACCTACATGCAGGCAATACATGCATACACATAAAATAAATTTTTAAAAAATTAAAATAAAAATTTCTTAAAAGTTTTAATAATAAAAAAAAAAATTCCAGGGAGGTAAGGCCAGAAAGGGGCTTATTGTGATGCTTGGCATTTCATAAAAGTTAGCTTTAACATACCAAGGCTCTTAAGAAGAAATTATCTCATCTAATTCCACAAAGACTTCATGAAGCAGGCACTGCCCACTGCCATCATATTCTACAGAATAAAACAAATGAACCCGAAGGCTAGAGGTTACATTACTAGACCAAGATCACACAGTCAGGGCAGGTCCTGGGAAAGTCAGGGTTTGAGCATAGCTGGGACCCTGAGCTTTGCTCTACAACTTCCTCTCCTATAATTCCATGGTCCAGCCTCAATCTGAAGCCAGCCTGCCCTGCTTGTTCCTAGAGGGGCAGCTAGAAAATGACAGGGAACTAAGCCATATTCCATCTTATCCTGAAAAGGAAATGAATTCTAACTCATGTATCCTAGGCTGGCCTTGAACTTGGTAGGCAGCCAAGGATGACCTTGAACTTCTGATTCTTCTTTTATCTTGAGTCCTGGGATTACAGACTTGTACCCCTATACCTGGTTTACATAGTACTAAGGATAGGACCTAGAGCTTTGTGAATGAAGAAAGCTTATCAATGAAGCTATATCCCTAGTCCACTCCATTTCTGAGTGGTAGAATTACAGGCCTGTGCCATATACTCAGTGGTGGCCTGGGTCTTTCTTGACTCATTAACCAGCAGCAAAAGCCCATTGTGTTTTTATGAAGCCAAGTTAGTAAGAAACAGGACTCCCTGATTTGAGTGCAGGGACTAGGTATTCTAGACTAATCAGTTTGGGCAAATGAGGATATTTACTGGCTTTTCTTTCCCAGCACAAGGCAGGCCTATGTCTAGAGGCATTAACAACTTGAACAATCCAACATTCCTTTTTGAGTCATTTATCAAATACCACCTTGTTGTATAAAAGGTTAAGGGTGGAAAAAATACAAATATATGGGCTTGCAAGATGGCTCAGCAGGGAAAGTTGATGACCACTGAACCTGATGACCTCAGTTTGATTCCTGGAACCCACATGGTGGAAGGAGAGAACTGCTACAAGTTGTACATGTACAACATGCTACATGTGCTATAGCATGTGCATGCTCATAAATATATAAATATATACACATGATAAATAAGTATAATAAAGATAAATTTAAAAAACAGAGAAAGAGAGAGAGAGAGAGACCTAGTTTAAGGTGTGTGCAGTTTATGGCATTTCAGAGAGCCATAGGACCGTGATTTGAGCCTTTCCTCTCAAATAATAAGGCAAAAAGAGAAACACAAGTAAGGCGAAAATAGGAAACTGGCTAAATCACCTTTCTAGCCTCAGACAGCAAAGGAAGTCAGGTTGTCATGAAAGGGCAGTGCCTAGGCTCCTATGGTGATGGACATAAAGTCAGAAATCCAGTTTGGAGCTTCCCAGGAACAAAGCAAAATGGGAAATGGAAAATATGATCCCAAATCTTCCCAGCTACATGGGGCTGACAGAAACATCTCCTGGGAGATTTTGCCCCTGGATGAGGAGAGGGTCTGATTTTCACATCTCTGTTTTATTTTGTTTCTTGGTTTGGTATGCTAGGGAAAGAAGCTTCTCTAAAGAACTTCTCCTTGCCCAGCCCTCTTTCCCTTGGCCTGGAATGTGAACAAACCTGATAGAGAAACAAAAACACAACTGAGAGCTTCCCGAGGCCCAGGCAGCCAAGGGTCTGTCACACGGCTGCAGAGCTCACCGTGCATGTCCATCATCCCTGGTGAGGAGCTGTTCTCGGGAGTGGTCACCTCTGAGCCACACTTTTCGTCCTTGCCTTTCTTCTTATTCTTGCTTTTCTGAAAGGGAAAAAGGAATCAGAAACCAAGTCAGTCAGTCATGTGTGCACACACGCACGAGTGACCCTGGGGAGTCGTATGAATATTATATTCCATCAAACCAACTTGGAGTCCCCAAGCCTCGGCTGGGTGTCTCTGCCTGCATTTCAATGTGGCCTACAGATTGTTCCTCACTCACTTTGGAATCAAAGAGCCTCACAAAAAGGTTTCTGGGACTGACCAGCTGTAGCACTATGGGAAATAATCTCACGTGTCTGTGGCTGTCACCTGTAGGCAGGCAAACACCCTGGCTGGTGGGAACTGCCTCTTCTGGGAGGGTAGATAGGGAAAAGGCCACAGCACTGGTCACTGATGGCCAGGGCAGGTACAGCCCTGGCAAAGACAGAGGTCACTCATGTCCAGCAGTTTAAGCCTCTTTGGGGCTTTCTCAAACTGTTGGGAAGGATAGAAAACTCTAAGATGCAGTGGGGAATGAAGGGGATGCTTTTTGGGTGCTGGGCTTCACACCTAGGGAGGCTTCCAAAGATGGCGTGAACCCATAGCCCTGGGATTCAGTGAGAATTCACTTCACTTCTTGGTCCTCAAATAGCCCGCTAAAAGGAGCCCATACCTCCGTACCCTGCTTGCAAGCCCAATGACTGCTGACAGACTGCATGGCACAGACCAATCAGAAAACGATACGTTGACTAAAGGGACTTGGAGGCGGAGAAAAGGGAAATCTAAGGCCTGCCCCCTCCTGCATTAAAGAGCCTGCAGCACCTCGCCTAGTGCTTGCTTCTACCTGACTCCCAGGGTCTGTGTGCCGTGACTCCGTGCCTCTTGACCCCTCTAATCGGCAGGGGACCCGATCCAGGTCAGGGTCTTCACAGCTGGCCTGAGGAGAACCCGCAACACCTGGCGCCCGAACAGGGACTCCTGCCCACAGTATTGGTGACACCCAGAAACTCGGTTCATTCGGTAAGTAGGCCCCTGGATTTGTCTGTTTCTTCGGCTGCTTGAGGGTAAGTGAGTAGGCCCCTCCTCTGTCCCCTCCACCCTGTCTGTTGTCATTGTTGTTGGACTAGTTTGTTAGATCAGGAAGGCACACTCCGCCATGTGGTCCTGAAGCCCACATCGGCACCTCCCCCCTCTCGGCTCGTCCCAGTGAGTTCACATAAGGGCTGATCCACCCCGAACTCAGAGCCCAGGCTTCGGGTCACCCTGTTGCCTGTCCTGGAGACACAGTGTGAGCATACGGCTGGAGGTGTCATGGCCTCAAGAAGACCCTCACTGAGCACAAGACATTTGGATCCAATACACCTCTGCATGTTGGAGCTGTTTACATCCTAGTGGCTCACAGTGCTTCTTTGCTTCCCTTGTGCCCTCTTGGTAGCCAACCTCGTCTTCTACTTTTGTGGCAAATTCCCCTTCATGATACCCTCCCACAA